TCAGAATCAGACCCATGTTCAGACCCATGTTCTGAATCTGACCCATGATCTGCAGAAGTTCCAACACCCCCGTGTCTGCAGGTCCACAGACCTCGGAGAGACACCGGACAGATTCTGGACACGTGACAAAGCCGAGTAGGTTCGGGACCAGCAGGGACCCGGTTCTCTGGTTCTGCCGGTGCAATGAGCAACAGGTGCGCGGCAACTTACACGAACGCGTGGTAGATGAAGGCCCAGGTTCGGGGTCTCTCCAGGACGTTGTACAGGTAGTTCTGCAGCCGCCGGTACCGGACGTTCCTCCGGGCGCTCTGCGCGCTGTACACCAGCGGCTTCCCCAGCAGGCTGAGCCGGGCTCCCTGCTTCCCCGGCAGGCTGTCCGGACCGGCCGGAGCCAGCAGCCCGTCGCCCGCGCTGCTCATCATCCTCCGGCCGAACTCCACATCCTTCAGCCCCGAGTCGCTCCGGTGCACCGGGGCCGTCCTCATCCAGAGCCCGGCGGTGCCGCCTTCGTCTCCGCTGTGGTTCCGGGGCATGGCATCACCAGAGCCGGCGGAGAGTGCGCGGATGTCCCCGCCGGCATGCGGGAGTCCCGAACACGTGCGGGGCGCGTTCAGTGCCGAGAGTCACACTTCACCGCCCGGAACATCCTCCCGTCAGGCGCACGCGGACTCGAACAGAACCGGTCCAGCTGCGCGCGGAGCGTCATTAAAATCAAGCGGCAGGAGCGCGAGACAACTCATGCGCAGCGCAGACTCTGTTTTCGCCTGTTGCGCGCGTGCGCGCGCACGGAAAATGAGCTCTTTAGACATTCAGAAACAAAACACGATGCTTTCACGAGGAGGCGCCGCGCGCGGAACGTCCCATGCATTTATTAAAGGGATAACCCGGCCATCTTTAAAGTGGGGTTCTGTGGGAAAGTTCTGAACGATCCAAGTTTAAAACAAATATCCCACGTGCTCTGTAAGCTCTGCTGCGGATGACTCTCAGCTACTACCACAACTAACTTTAGCCTAATAACTGTAAAAATTACAATTATTTTGATTAGCCGTGGCAGCCATTCTGAATCGTTAACGCCACAAAGACATTGAAGTACATCCATTAACTTACATGACAAGCTAACAGCCAGTTCAAACGATGTCATCTTAAAATAGTTGCAGTTGTTTTTAAAATCATATAAAACAGCTATTTCACAAACATTTACACCTCCATAATTTATATTACGTGGTTATTTAGATGGATTTTATGGCTATTTACGAGCTTAGCAACGAGCTAGCTTAACACTTCCACTGCAAAATATTTAGATCTGAATGATCAAAATATTTATTTTAAAATATATGTGTTGAGTTTTAACAAGTTGTATTTATAAAAAGTCATTCACATAAACTGCTCTGAAATTTTACAGGTTGGAGTTGTTTTAAAATCTTGCCAGGCTATATTTACAAGCTAGCGGCTAGTCCAACAGAGGCCATTATCAAAGATTACTGACATTTTAAAACAGCTTCAATTAAAAAAAAATCATTTGTTTATGAGAATTATGTTTATTAATGCTTTATGATACCGCAAATCAAGCATTATATATCAAAATACTTATATAGATATATATTTATATTTTTTTTTTTTTTTTTTATTTATTTTTTTTGGGGTTGTTAACCGCTAGCTAGCACCTTCAGTGCAGCCACTTAGAACATGCATTATCCTGTTTCTGTTCAAATAACTGTATGACATTCATAATTATATTAATATTTATTCATAAAACAATCATTCACATTAACTGCTATGAAATTTTACAGGTGAGTTCTTTTCAAACCACTTCAAGTCCACTTTAAAACTGGGTTGTCTGGCTACATTGACAAGCTAATGGCTAGCCCGCTAACGGAGAAGATTGCTGCCGTTTTAAAACAACTCCAGTCTTTGAAGTTTCATAGCGGTCCCCACAAACACTTTAAAAAAAACTTTAAATCACCAGCAGTTTTTCGTTACATGTTTCTTTGGGTTTGTCAGAAATATAAATATAAATGCCTGAAGGAAGTGCTACAGCTCGATGCTGCTGCTTTTAAATTACTATAAAATTCTATGTAAACAGTCATGTAACGAGAAACTGAAATTAGATAAAAGTTAAAATAGTTTCACGTGACCTGATGCAGCTTCACTCAGACCTTTTTTCTCCAAACAGGTTATTCAAAGGGCAACAGCAGGTAAGATACTCGTTACTATTAACTTTCCCCCATCTGCAATGTTCTTTTCAGAGACATTTAAATTAAAACAAAATCCCTACGAATTATCCCAAATCATAAAAATAAAAAAAACAGAATCTTAACGTTTAGGTGATACATAATATCAAATTAAAATTTAACCAAAGTATGTTTCTGCTCTTATGTACATTTTAATTGGTTATGATGAATGAAGTCATTAGTAAATTAATATTTCTGCTACACGGCACCACGTGGCTGAAATTCAGCTGAGGTTTGCTTTAAGTTTTGCAGATTAAAACCCTTAAAATGTATTTCTGGTGAAGGTTCCTCTCGTTGATCTTTGGGTCGGAAGTTGATGGAACTGAAAACAATGAAAACACGTGCAGACTTGATCTGCCAGCTTCATGCAAGGTGTTTCCTTCAGAGAAGCTTTTTGTTCTGCTTCCTACAGAACTGTGCCATCTGCTGGTAGCTGCTGCTGCTGCTGCACAACCTGACCAGGTCAAAGCCAAGAAATCCTTCTCTGAGGTCAGCAGATCTAAAATAATCTGTTATTTCTGCTGATTTGATCTCTCAGCTTCTGTTTTTAAACATTTTCCCCTCAGACAAACTTATCTTCTTCAGTTATGTTGGGTTAAAATTAGTCATAACAAACTGCACTAAAGTTTTCAGTCACTCTAGTCTTTCAAAGTGGTCTTTGTCACTTGGTGTCCTCCATGTTTGAACATCTTCTTTGGAAACAGTTGTAATAGTAACTGTAATCGGTTAATTCCTTATAGACACATCAACCATCGAGAACGGACTGGAGAGAAGAGCAAAAATCTTCATCCATGCTACGCTAATAGCCAAATGAGTTTTTTTTTTGTCTGCTCCCTTCCTACAGGGCTTCACCACAGCAAGGATTTATGTCAGATGTCCTTCCAGACACAGCCTGGACTCGAACCTGCAGCCTCAGAATTATGAGACTGAAGAACTGACCACTGACCCACCACAACTGGCTAGCCGAATAAGTATCTGTTCATGTTTTTCAGGATGATCAAAAAAACTATAAAAACATGGTGTGGTTTACACACCATTTACTTTACATTAGGTAAAATTAAACTTTTATACTTCTTAAAAAAACTTAAACACAGAGATTTCCAATTATTTCAATAATTTTCTTTTTAATTTGTACATTTAAAGTCCCTCTGGTTAGGTCACCTACGTTTGGCTTGTGATTTCGCACTTTAGGCTTTAAAAATAATGTGTATGTGTTGTCATCACTGCATGTTCCCATACAAAGGTGAAATGGGTTCTCTGCATTTAACCCATCCACCCCCAGGTGGAGCAGTGGGCAGCTGTTGAAAGCACCGGGTAGCAAACTGGGGATAGGGTGTGATGCTCAGAGACACCGTGCAATGATTGGGGGATCGAGCCTGCGACTTTCAGGTCCCGAGTCGGCCGCCCTGCCTCGACATCATCTGAGCTAGTATTTTGCAACTTTAGCTGGCATTGCACTGAGTTGAGCTAGTTTTTTTAGCTGCTTGTAGCTCGTAGTTTGAAACTTTACCTTGTACTTTTCTTCTTTTACTCAGCATTTCACTACTTTTTTTAGCTAGCTTTTCTAATTTTAGCTTAGATTTTGCTACTTTATGCTCAAAGATAGTACTTCTTGTAGCTAGCATTGTGCTAGTGTTATCTTTAAGCATTTTAAAACTTTCAACTCACTTTTAGCAACTTTTAGCTCATAGTTAGCATTTTAATTAATTTAGCAAGTATCGTTGTACTTTTAATTATAAGCTAGTGTTTTTCAACTTTTACCTCATGTTCTGTAACTTTTGTTTTTAAGCTGGCACTGTGCAACTTTTAGCTTTAAGCTGGTATTTTACACTTTTACACCTTTGCTACTTTTAGCATTTAGCTAGTATTTGGAAGTTTTAGCAATCACTGTGGTACTTTTAGCTCAAAGACATATTTTTTTCAACATTTAACTCATATTTTGCTACTGTTAGCTCTTAGCTAATATTTATCTTCTGTTAGCTAGCATTATGCTACATTTAGCTTTATGCTAGCATTTATTTTACCTCTCTCTCGTTTTACTGCTATTAAATTTAGGATAGTATTTTGCTACTTTTAGCTAGCACTGTGCTGCTTCTAGTTTTACATTTTTGTTAATTTCAGCCTTTAGCTTGAAGTTTGTTTCTTTTAGCTTCTGTTTCTTATATTTATCTTTTAGCTACCATTTTGAGATGTAGCTGTTCTGCTACTTTTAGCTGTCACAGCTCAGTTTCAGCTTCTTCAGCCCTCAGAATTTGTGCTGTATTTTGTCTGGTTCAGGCTCAACTCGTGTACTCTGGGGTTGTTTTATCCCTTCATGCGTGACCTTTGACCTGTTGGATGACTTATTCTAGGGAGAGACATCGTGACCTGCGATGTGACATGTGATCTGCTTTTCCACAGTGGTCCGTGTTCTGAAGCGGGAGGCGGTGACCCGTGGGCTCGGCTGGCACCGTGAAGCCGGCGGGGGGATTTGTGGGCAGATGTTGCTTCGGGGGCCCCGTGCTGATTTAACCGGAGGAACACGAGTCTCTCAGGATCTCTGCTGCTCAGTGAGGTCACACATGAGGTTCCACTTCCTGTGTGCAGGAACAGACCATGAAAGATCTAAAGACTTCCTGAAAGTCTGGGTTTTATTTTTTTTTACTTGTGAAATCCTTTGATGCCCTTTTATGTTCCTGTTTATGCATCTTTGCAATCTTTATTTTAAAATACTTTAATAACTCCAACAAACATACAGTTAGACCCATCAACACGGACATTTTTCTGCATGTTCGTATTTTTAGTTCACGAAGCCTTTCTGGTAACATAAATTAATTAAATGCTTTCTCGTGTGTGTTTCTGTTGACATGTCTCATAACCCACCTTTTTCATTCAACCTTTATTTAGGCAGATAAATCACAATGAGCCTCGGAGACTCATTTACAAGTGAGATCTGTTTAGACAGACAAAAACGTAGTGAAACTGAACACGTAGAAATTGGAGGCAAAAAAAAAAAAGAAATCCTATCAAACTCTTTCTTTTTGGCTGAGAAGAAAGACCCTGATAATGAAAAAAACACCCCGCACATACAAGCACATGGTGACGTAGACATTCCGCAGGGGGGGGCGGAGACAACAAGGGCGGTGAGGGTGTCCAAGGATGCTCCCGGAGGCACAGTAGGAGACCTGATGGATTTTAATGAAATTCTCAGAAATAATCATTGGTTTTATTTCTATGACTGATTAAATCTTTTAGAGTCAAGTGATTCAAGATGGCCGCCACAGCCAGCTGACCTTAGAAAACACTAAGCTGGCTATAACAGCTAATTTCAAACATACTGAGTTAGATTTGGTGTGGTTGTAGCCAACCGACTGTATGAGATCTT